ATTGTTGGAAACATCTAAGAAATCAACTGCTAGTTCTCTATTAAAATGCCCAGTTTGAGGCGTTCCACACCATGGTGAAGCGCTCTCTAAGTCAGGTCCCTGCTGTGGGCAGGGCTGGGAGCCCAGGAGACCCCAGCTCCTCCTGGGGGCCGGTCCAGCACCTTTCTCCCTCCCTGCAGCGTGAAGCATATCTCCTGCTCCCTGCTCATCCTGCACGCCGAGGACGACCCTGTCGTGCCCTTCCAGCTTGGCAGAAAGGTGGGTGTCCAGCGGGCGTCGGGCAAACTCATGTTCGGTCCAGGCTAGGCCAGGCGGGTGTGGAGGGTCCTGCTGCTGGCAGGGCCCCTTGTGAGGGAGAGGGCAGAGGAGGTTGGCAGCAGGGTCGGGGCAGGGCTGGACAGCTGATGCCGCCCCAGAAGGAAACGTGAAAATAAGCAAATGAAAATCTCCTGGGTCCCCCGTACAGGGGACTCAGTCAGGAGGGCTAGCCAGTTACTGGCTGGAGGGAAAGCACCCTTGATGACGAGGCTCCCCCAGTGGCTGGAATTGGTACAGAACTCTCACCTGTTCTCTTGCCTCTGGGATGGGACTGACGACAGAGGGTGCCACGTTGCCTCTGTGTCTGCTTTTGCTGTATTTGCTTTGCCTTTGCTGCCAGGAAGCCTGATTAAATTTGTAGGTGGGGGTAGGGTGGGAGAGAGCACTGTCTGGCCATGGCGCTGGCCTGCTAGAGGGCGCGACGCCCAGGCCACATCAGACCAGGCCTGAGGCAGGTGTGTGAGGGCCAGGTCCTTCCCTCCAGCTGGTTCGGGCACGTGAGGAGGGGGCTGAGGTGGCATAGGTCCTGAGCCACCTTGTTGGCAGGCCTTGACCCAGGCACACGGCAAAGTTTGAGGCACACAGCCCACCCAGCCCCAGGGACTGAGCCATCGGGGCTGCTCCTGGCACTCAGGCCACCACCGCATCCCGTAGCAGGTGGCTCTCTGTGGTGCTGCAGGCCCCTGAGGAAGGGCGGTCTGCAAGACAGGCGTGAGGATGGAGAGCGTCTTGAGTGGTGGCCCCGAGGGTCCCTGCTGTGGGCGAGGCAGGCTGCAGGGTGCTGTGCATGGGGGCCTTGGGCTGCTCTTTGGAGACAGTGGCCATGGGCTGCTCTCTGTTGCAGGGGGAGGCCAGTAGGCAGGTCACCCCCAGGCCCTGGGCGCTGACCCGCCTCTCCCTCCCCCAGCTCTACAACATTGCTGCACCGTCACGCAGCTTCCGAGACTTCAAGGTTCAATTCATCCCCTTCCACTCGGACCTTGGCTACAGGCACAAGTACATCTACAAGAGCCCTGAGCTTCCACGGATCCTGAGGTGAGGCGCTCTCCTCTCACCTGCGATGCCGTCCTGCGTGGCGATGGCTCAGGCGTGTGCGGCCGCAGCTGCAAAAGCCATTTTGGGGCCGAGTCACAGTGAGGGGTCAAGAGTGTCACCCCTCCCTCCTGGGCCGTCCCCACCGTCAGTAGGGCTGTGATCTCCCTGTGATGCAGGTCGTGCAGCGCAGACACCACAGCTGCTTTGGGTCAGGCCTCCATCCCTTCCCACAGGCCCGTCAGGTTGCTGCTCCTGTGCGTGGGGCACAGGGGGTGCAGGTCTGGGCCAGCTCCTCAAAAGCCCCAGCTGCTTCTGGAAGGGAGGCTGTGCCCCTGGCTGCACTGCGCTGGCTGAAATCCTGGGCCAGGACGTGGGCTGCCACCCCGGGCACCCATCTCGAGCTTGGGCGCAGAGCCTGAGGATGAGGGGTGCACTGGTGGCAAAGCAAAGGGTTTGGATGGACCAGGCACTCCCTGCCTCCCGCTGGAGGGTGCAGGCAGCCTGCACGTCCCGGCTGGGGGGCCTCTGCTGAGCCTGGGGTGCTGGAATCGGCCCTCGGTGAGGTGTGTGCCGAGTGGTTACACTTTGCCCTTGAGGTTCCAGGGGCGTTCCTTTGCAGTTTCTTGCCTCCCGGATGTGGGTTGCTGCGAGGGGACAGTAATGAGTATGGGTTTGCTCTGGGACTATGGTTTTTCCCCATAAAAAGAATACATTACATAAAATGTAGACCAGAGAATGGCTCCAACATCGGGGTGCAGTTAGTGACCCCATCCTTGCTCCTGTGTGTCAGGACTTAACTTGGGCACTGCCTTTGGCGCCCTGCTTGTTTAACTCACGGGGTTTTCTGAGCGGAAGTGTGGTCCTCCAGGCTCCTTTGCGGCCTCCCCAGGTGGGCTGTAGGAGGACCACAGGAGGTGGGGTCTCAGGTTTGGTCTCAAGAGGTTTGGCCGACAGGTTTCCTCCTCTGGTCCAGGGAATTCCTGGGGAAGTCGGAACCAGGGCGCCAGCACTGAGTGTTACTCGCCACCTGAAGGAGCATGAAGATGTCTGCCCTTGTCCCCCCCTACCTCCGGCCAGCCCGGCACCCTGGAGATGTGCCTGGAGAGAGAACTCGGATGCCAGCGGGCCAGGCAGAGGAGGCCCTGGCAGACCTGAGGCGCCCGCCCCGGGTGGCTGGGAGCACAGGTTTCTGTGGACAGCGTGGGGGGCGGGCATGTGGCCCTCTCTCCCTCTTGCTGCCACTCAACCTGAGGTCTTGTTGGGAAGACAGTGACAGAACTTTCTGGCCATCGGCTAGTTGATCCCACACTTCCTGAGCTGGGCACCAGGAGCCTGGGGCAGGAGGCGTGGGGTCTTGGGACCACATTGAGCTTTCTGGCACCACCCTCAAGAATGTGGGGAAACTTGGGTTCTTTCTGTCCCTTCCCAGAACGGACTCTAGTGGTTCCATCAGCCCCTCCTGCCCTGTGCACCCCGCTTGCCTTCCTTGGTGTCCCTGCCTCCCTGGGCGGCCCCACTGCTCCCAGCGGGGGAGGTGCCCGTGGTCTGCCTTCATCCGATTTCCACCCACCTGTCTACCTAACCTGGCCTTAGACGGAGCATTTATTTAAGAATAAAATCGTGGTGGTGGTCTGTCTGATTTCTCAGTGACGCCTCCAGCCCAGGCCCTACCCACAGTCCCAGGCCACTCTCAGGACCCGACCATATGGGAGGTGGTATTGGCCAAGGATCATGGGCCCTTCTTTCCCGCTTCCTTCCAGACACTGAGGCCCAGCACGGAGGGGCGTTATCTCTGGGGAAAGGAACGTTCACGGTGGGGAGGTGGAGATGGCTTTTCCAGGCGGAGCAGATGGCATTTTTCTAAAAACCAGGCCTACGCAGGTGACCTTTCCAGCCTTATAGTTAACAAGCTCGTTGAATGTTGCCGTGTCGATGGACAGGTGGTGGGGTTTAGGCTGCTGGAGTCCAGGGACTCTTCTGGCCTGCGAGCATTGCCCTGTTCACTCACTGGTGGTGGCGCTTCTGTTGTTTGGCTCTTTGCGAAACCAGCCTCCCCTGCACGTGCACCGCTCCCAGCCAGCGCCTGCCAGCTGTCCACTTCTCACCTCCCCGCTAAGTGCGCTCTCTCCCAGGAGAGGGTGTGTGGCTTAATAAGGGGGCTTCGAGCTGTGCAGCACAGGGTTTGTCCCAGGTCGGAGGACTTCAGCCCACCCGGGTCTCTCCTGATGGCAGGCCTTCCTCCCCTAGATCGCCAGGCTCTGGCACTTTCCAGTCTCAGCAGCGCAGAGATTCCCCAGGGTGGGGAGGGGCTTGTTTACCTGCCCCCCTTGTGGCCTGTTAGCAGCTATGCCCTGGCTGGAAGCCCAGAAGCAGATCACACCCTCTTTCTGAAGCACCTTAGAGCTGCCCAACGTGATTCTTGTATCTGGAAAACCCATGTCTTTCTTAAACCAGGTGTGAAACGGAACAGACCTTCCTGAGGTCAGTTTGTCAGTTATCTTCTACTGGACGGGTTTGCTCTGCACTCCTGGTATCTAATTCAGGTGTGAGCACAGCCTGCAGGGCCCCACCCCGTCCCCCAGCTTCATGTCTCCTTGGATTTCCGTCAGAGCTGGGACACCCATCCCCACCTGACACCGTCTTCATGTAACTAAAGCACGAAGTGCCCGCCTGGCCAGGGCAGCCCCTTCGTGCTTTTCTCAGTCACTGAGGCTCCTGGAGGCCCTGCAGCTCAGAGCCACATCCCCAGCTCGTCTTGACCAATGAGGCCGTCTAGACCCGGCCTGCTCTGCCTGGGCTCAGGTCTGCATCTTGTTTTTCTTAAAATTTTGTCTATGTAAGTTGCCTCAGATTTTTTGGGGCGGGGGGGGGAATAAGGTAGGCTATAAAGTAAAAATACAAGCTGTTAGTGTTTTTACAGGTGTCTGACCGTCTGAAGATAAGGAAGCATAAGGGATCGTGGGGCTGGTAGCTGCCGCCCTTGTCAGCTGTCAGGTAATTAGTAATCAGGTCTACACATCTCTGCCTGGTGGCATCTCAGCTTACTACCTCGGTCTGAGCAACTAAGCTTACACTGTGGGTTAGAACTGACCCTTTAATGGGTCACAACAGTCGGTGGTCAGGAACAGCAAGAGATGTGCACAGCTGTGAACTGTGGTCGTCAGATGCATGTGTCCCAGGAGCTGCCCCAGACCTGAGACCAGGAGTGTGCATCTCAGGTGCCCCCAGCCAAGGGGCGGCTCGCACATCCCACCGCCAGCAGGGGTCCACGGCGTTCTTGGGTTCTTTGGGCAACAATAAGCCCCGAGGCACAGCCCTCTGGGTTCTTGATTTAACCTGCAGCCATACAATTTGGGGTCGGGGGGGGGAGGAGTTTTGGTCCCCAGGGCGTTCCACTTCCCAGGACCAGGAGTGGGTGGCAAAAGATGGGTGCAAAAAACAGTACAATTCACACCAAAAATGCCAACACCCAGGAGACAGTTTTCCAAGTGGCTGGGTTTGACGGTTCAGGCACTCGTGGCTCTAAGCCCCACATGCAGCTGGGGGTGAGAGAACTTTCTGTTCTCAGTCCTGGAATGATGGACCATAATTTAGCCCGGCTGGAACATGGACTGCCCTGGGCACAAGAGTGACACACAGAGGCCAGATCAACTGAGCACAAGCAGGAAGGTTTAATCCGTTTCTCACACGAGGCAGTGACTGACAGTGAGGGGCACAGTGATGGTTACACTCGGCCTAAGGGACGGGCAGCAGAGGGCGCTGGGGATGCAACCACAGACCCTCACGCCTCTGGTGACGTGAGCAGTCAGGATGGGGATGAGGGCAGGACCCTGTGCCACCCAGGTCCAGCATTTGAGGAGACAGCCTCCGGAAGCTTCCGCCCACAGCTCCTGCCTGCTCCCTGGCCCTGTCCTTCCCACCTGCTCACCCGCCCTCCCCAGCACCAGCCTGCTCTCTGGGCAGAATGGAAAGTGGGCTCCTCTCTGGGCCCACTCAGTCCTTTTCCAGACCAGGTTGTCATGCTGCTGGGAGGAGGGAGGCCGGCCTCCCGTGAGACCGGAAACGCACCCTCCTGGACTCGACGGGCACAGATCTGCAGCGGGGCTGGGTGTTCAGCTTCACCCAGCAGAGGTGGGGACCCCACCTGGGTCCCCAGGGCCAGGTGAGAACATCCCAGCATTGCCTCCCCAGGGACTAAACTTCAAAAGTGCTATTTTTAGTTGCTAAAACAAGGAAAGGCTTTAGCTAGTTTCATTTCCTTGTGAAAAATCTTATGAAAAAGCAAAACCAAACGAATTCTGCATCAGCCAGCCTTGTCCCAGCCAAAGCTCCCTAGACGCTGGACACAGGTGTTGTCCCCAGTGTCACTCTCAGTTGTCCTGGGGCCTCTTTATCTGATCAATCTGGAAACCCCGGGCTGGGTGCCCACACAGCAGCTATGAGGACATGGCCTAGCACAGTGGACCCTCCCTGCATGGCCAGGAGGCAGAGCTGGGGCCACACTGGACGAGGTGCTGCAGAAACATACACGGCCCCAGGCTTTACCACGGCTACCTGGCCGGACCCCAGAATCCAGAGGCTCAGAACTAAAAACGAGCTCACACAAGGTGTGTGCAAGGCTGTGGGGAGCCCAGCAGACAAGTCCACCTTCCCCCACCTCCACGGGACAGGTGGGCAGAGCAGCAGGCCAGCTGCCCTGCTCAGTGCTGTGGGCTCTGCTTGCCTGCAGGAAACGGGGGAGCATCTCACCTCAGCATCTTCCCCCAACCCAACCCAACCCCCGAAAGCCACCACCCGGATCCCCATGGCCGTCCCGGAAACAGCACTGAAAAAAGCAGGGTGCTGGCAAAGTGCTTGGAAACGGGGCAGTCAGCAAGAAAACAAACGCCTCTGGTCCGGAGGGGGAGGGCGGAGGCCTAATCCCTGGGGAGGCTGGGGGGCGGGGTCTTCAGGGCAGAGGGCTCCACGCCCCAGATGTCCCGGGCGTACTCCGTGATGGTCCGGTCACTGGAGAACTTGCCCGAGCAAGCGATGTTCCTGATGACCTTTTTGGTCCACTCCTTGGGGTTCTGCAGAGGGAAGCGGTGCTCGGTGACCTCGGGCTGTTCCCAGATGCACTTAGACACTGGGCAGCCAACCAAGAGGTCACTGGGAAGGGGGCCCACCCACCAGGAAAGTTTCCAGATGACTAGACAGAGGTCCTGCTGGGGTGCGGCACACCCAATGCACAGACACCCCACCAGAGGAGTATGCGCCCCCAGACTGCAGCCAGCACCAGGAGGGGCCTCCCCGAAAGGAAAGCAAAGTTCCTCCCGGAGCCCGGAAGATCACTCGGTTTCTAGGCCCTCTCCTGTTCTGTCACAGGAGGGAACATCAGGGGCTGTTTCCTCGAGGGGGGAGTGGGTGGGAGGGATGAGACGTGGGCAACAACTCAGACACACAAACCCCTCAGGCCGTGTCCAAGAATCTGCTTGAACGACCTGGGCAATGAACCATCTGCCCCAACAACTGCACAGTCACGCCCCCATCGCCAGTGTCCCCTCCTGCTGCCATCCTTGGCTGGGTGCACAGGGTGGAACACCCTCCTTTCCCTCCCCAGGTTCAGGAGCTGAGTCTTTCCAGGAGACCCCACTGGACATGCACACTCTCTGTGGGCCACGCCAAGGCAGGGACACAGGGCCACGGACTGGGGAGCTGGCTCCCGCAGCCCCACCTTAGAAACTCGGCTCCTTAGAGCTACAAGTCCTTGTTCTACTTGCTGTCAGATCTGTCACTTTTACAAGGAATCGTTCATCTTCTCATTTTAAGCACAGAAAGGTCTTCACTGCTCACAAGGCCCATCCCTCACCTCAGGCTCTCCTGATCACACCCACGTGGGCGGTCAGATGGCGGGCTAGGGTGTGCAGAGCCTCCAGAAGGAAACTCCTGCCCTGCTCACCTGCGCTCTGTGGCAGCTGCCCAGAGGCTGCAGGGGAAGGTGCGCTGGTGTGGACAGCAGCCTGGGCAGAGGGCCAGCCGAGTCAGTCCCTGAGCAGGAAATGAGGAAGCCCAACCTGCTCTGGGCCACTAGATGAACTGTGACCTCCTGGGAGTGGCCTGAGACAGCAAGACACAGCCACACCCTGCTGCTTCGCTGCCAGGGCCCAAGGACCTTACCCGGTACAGCTGGTCCACCCGGGCCTGGCACTCCACGTATGCCTCATAGTCCGCAAACACCTTGAACCTGAAATGGGAGACAGGAAGCTGGGCTGGGTGGGTGACGAGTGGGAGGTCAGGAAACGGGCCTGGCTGGCTGCGTCCTCATGCTCTGCAGGACAGGGGTGGCCACGGGGACTACTCTGTGAGCAATACTTCTGTCCTGGGGACGCTATTCTAGAAAAACCTTATTTTAACCCAGTGTTCTTTAAAGAACCCGTGCACGTGGGTCAGAGCTGCACAGGCTGAGGCCTCCCGCCAATTTCACCTCCAGGGGAAGGGCACAGGGTGACCACAGGCTCCATCACCATCTGTTCTCAGATCTCACGGGCTGAGAACTGGTGGTGCAGGATTTATGGACACAGAAACACGTTTTGTTTACGATTGAGTCAGAAACACAATTCATGAAACTGTAAAGTCCCTCCTTGATCACAGACCTCAGCAGGGCCAAGCTCCCAGCCCCGGGCGTGTGTGGAGTTACGATCGATTGGGTCTAACAGAAGCCAGCTGACAGCATTCATCAAAAAGTGACAGACTAAACCAAAGGAACTGCAAGTGGGATAGAGGTCGATTCTCAGCCTTTGACAGACTCAGCTTCTACCACCTGGGTGGAGAAGAGGCCTGTCGTCAGAGGAGAGAGCACTGCCGACCTATAACAAGTGCTGTGCAAAGCTGTGCCCCGGGGAGCAGAACCCCGTGTCAACGGCCTCGTCGTAAAACACTAACCATGTGGTAACTCACGGCCTCACAAGCTCATTCCACCTGAACCACTCTTGGGCTCCCCATTAAACCCAGGCTCCCTCTGCCCCGAGGAAGTCGCCTCCAACCCGCCCAGGCGACGCTTGTCACTCCTGTCCAAGGAGGTCAGCTGGTGCCGGGGGCCTGGGGCTCCGCTCGGCAGCTGGCAATCCCACCACCAGGCCCCCAGGCTCGCTGAGCACCGTCAGAAGCCCCACAAACCCTGTCCCCTGGGTGCAGCCGAGCCTCTGGCCGTGGGCTGAGGTGAGGGTGAGCCTCACCGAGGCCCAGGCTTGGCCCCAAACAACGTGCAGTTTTCAGCCTGCCAGGGGACCCTTTGACCCATCGGTGAGGCACGAGGGGCCTGTCTCACCTGTCATGGTTCAGCAGCATGTCAACGACGCCCTTGAAACAGTCGGGCTCCCTGGGGGAGAAGAAGCCGCTGCTGATCTGGTCCACGGCCTGCCGCAGCTCGGGCAGGGAGTCGTAGTACTCCCGGGCGTTGTACCTGTGGGGAGATGGCAGCCTCGTGGGCACACGCTGGGGCCGTTTGTGCCTCAGGCCCACGACAGCCAGGTGGGGTTGGCAACCGCAGGCACTGGGAGGTGGACGTGGGCCGTGAGCACATCAATTCCACCTCCTCCTTTTACTGTTACAGACACGTGGTTGCTAGAGGACGTACAGGTCACATGCAGTCCTCCGAGAGAGGATGCTCAAGCAGCCCCACCCCCGCCCCCAGTGCCAGGATGTTGCAGAAGAAAATGACATGTGAAACCAAGCTGGAGAGACACCCTGCGACCATTAGGGAGTCTGGGGAGAGGGAGGCGTGTGGCAGACATGGGACAGGGCCGAAAGGGCCAGCGCTCACGGGCTGACAAGGTTCCGACTGTTTGGGTTCAGCAGCTGGTGCCTGAGGCCTCAACAACTCCCCTGAGGGATTTTAGGCAACTAGGCAACTTCAGTTGCACAGAATTAGGCCGGGCTGGGACCCCTCACAGTATCCAAGGGTGTGAAAAACAAGCAGAGGAGATCTGAGGTCTTGAGAGGGACACACACCCTTTCCGATCCAGGGCTTCCACGTCCTCCACCCGCAAGCCAAAGATGAAGAGGTTCTCGGCCCCAGCTTCCTCAGCCATCTCCACGTTGGCTCCGTCCATGGTGCCGATGGTGAGGGCCCCATTGAGCATGAACTTCATGTTGCCTGTGCCCGAGGCCTCGGTGCCCGCGGTGGAGATCTGCTGTGACAGGTCGGCGGCGGGGATCACTGCAAGGCGGCGAGAGCAAGACCCGTCAGCCATGAACCGCTCAACACGAGAGCAATGGGAACAGCACAGCAACACCATGCACTGACCACACCACCTGTACGGCTCCCTTTTTTGACCCAGGGCACCCTGAGGCAGAGGATCCACAGTGGAAACGCCTGAGAAGCCCTGCAGGTGGCAAAGGACCTTTGTTCTGGAACCTTCCGCGGACCAGGGCCAAATCAAAGCCTGGTGTTGTCATCATTCCCTTGTATCCTGACATCACTGCTGTCTTATTCGATCAGCCCCGCAGACTCCTTAAATGGCTTAAAGAGGAATCCGACTCACAGCACCAAAGGACTGGGGACAGCGGGGGGACAATCTTCTTGTGGCCACACGCACCGAAGTCACTCTGTGCCGTTTACAGACTGGCATTGTGGCCAAGACACAACCCCATCCATGGCCCTGCAGCTTCTCCCAAGTGTGGGTTCCCTGCGTGAGTTTCTCCATGTGGCAGCAGGAACGCAGCCTCCGTCCTGCCTGCCTTGGCATCCCTGCTCCCACGTCCTCAGCTCGTTCTCAGAGCTAATGCTGCTTCCCTAACCCAGCTGAAGGGCACTCGGGGTCAGCCAAGACCAGAGCCCAGCCCCTTCTTCAAGGTCAAGTCCAGGTGCCAGGATAGAGACACAGGCACCCCCGGCCCCTCAGGCAGAGGGACATGGGCAGACGGGATGGTGGACACGTTACCACAGCCAGTCCAAGAGCTGGGGGAGGGTGTGGGGCCCAACTCCAGGCTGGCTGTCCCCAAGGTCAGTTCTAAGGAAGCGCAGGAACTGGCCTGGGAGTGCCAGGCAGCGGCCGTAAGTTGCTTTAGAAGCTCAGTGAAACACTAACCCCGACCCAACCCCCGAGCCACACATTGTCCATGGCAGTGGCGGGACCACAGGGATGGTCCTGATCTGCCTGCAACGGAGGAGGAGGGAGTGCGTGAGCCTGCCCTTCACTCAACGCCTGGAGGGCAGCGCACAGTCTCATGGATCAGAGGGGCTGCTACTCGGGCCACAAGTCCAGGCTCAGGTTTCCCAGCACTTCCTGCCAGGTCTCCGGAAGTGGCTGGCTTAGAAGGGCCTGTCCAGCTCAGGACAGCTATGCTCCGAGGCACATCTGGCCACAGGCCCTTCTCCAGATGGCAACACACACCCAGTACCCCCAAAGTGGAGTGGCCCCAGGCTAAACCCTCCCGGAGCAGGTGCAGGACGCCAGGCCAGAGTGGACAGGTGGGGATGAGCAGAAGCACCCTCTGGGGGACGGGGAGGGCCAGCAAGAGGGAGCCCCGGGGCAGAGGAGCGAGGAGGGGGAGCAGTGGGAAGTTCAGAGACCAAGGATGTGTGAGACCGAGGACGACCCACACACTCGGTGGCAGCAGGGCTCCCCCAGAGCCAGGCCAGGGGGTGGGGGGCCCTCTGGCTGGGCAGCCTGGTGTTGGGGCTGTTAATCCGTGTGAAAGCAAGACAGGCCCTGACCATAGAGGACCACTGGCTGCGCCCAGGTAGGGCAGGCTCACCTTTCTCGGCCAAGGACACTCTGTAGTTCTCTAGGAAGATCACTTTGAGCCTGTCGCCCACAACCGGATCGTGGTTGACGACGTCGCCGATGGACGTGACCAGCTTGATGATCATCTTGGCCATGTGGTAGCCGGGCGCCGCCTGGAAAGGGGGAGGGGCGCTCAGCAGACACCCTGTGCTCAGGGGCACGGCAGGGTCGCCGGAGCCCGGGCTGCACACGCCCAGCCGAGTGGCTCTGCCAGCGGGGGGGTCCCACGGCAGGGGAGGGGTGGGCTGAGGCCACGGCATCCCTGCGTGTCCTGCCCTCAACCTGGCAGACGGACCCACAGAGCGCGGCGCCCCACCCGCTTCCTCGGCTTCAACCGAGCGCCTCTCATGACGGCACCTCACCCACGTGCACAAATCTGTCAACCTCAAGCTTGGTTTTCTGATTCTAGTTGGTTTTTTCAAAAATGGAGAGAGGGAACAAGGACCTCTGAGAACTGACTACCGACTTATAGGAAACGCAGGGAACCAAGGAAAGTACTAGGAGATACCAGAGGGACGTGGTTTGGGGAAGACACACAACCCGATTTCTGTAACAAATTGCAGGGGAAAAAAAGAGGGGGACGTGGAGAAAAACCTACAGATGAAGAGATTTAAGAGACACAGCCGCCCGTCACCATGTGAGAACCTTGCTGGGTCCTGATTCAAACAAGCTCAAGGTATTTGTAGCTGTCACAAGACCGCTGCGTGTGGCCCTGGCTGGATATTTAATGATGTGGAGGAATTCTTGTCAAGTGTTTTAGGTGTGATGGTGGCGCTGTGTGGTTTTGCAGGAAAACATCACTGTGAAGACAACTGATTAAGTTCTTAGGGCTGAAGTGTTATAATGTCTGTAATCCATCTACTATGAAATGGTTCAGCAAAAGTCTGGGGGACAGGTTTGTGGATGTTCTACACTTCTTTTTTTCTTTTTAAAAATGTTAATTTTTAAAAAATTAACATTTTTTAACTTTTTGAAAGTCCACATCTCTAAAATGCATACAGAAATACTGACAAAACAGCATGCTGGGGTGGGGTGGTGGTGGAATGAATTGGGAGATTGGGATTGACATATATACACTAATATGTATGAAACAGATAAAAAAAAAAGAAAAGAAAAAGAACCCCAGCATGCTGTCCGGAGTCTGCTTTAGAAACATCAGGAGTCAGGGGGCCGGGGGACGGTGGCAGAGACAGAACAAGACGGGCCTGCCTGTGAGGTGCCTCCACCTTCATATGTGCTCAAGTGAGAGGCGAGGACAGTCCTGGGCCCACCTGCAGCCCCCGTGAAGCAGCTGTGCCCAGGCTTCTGGGAAAAGTGGCAGAGGGTGGGGACGCGGGCCCTAGAGCGCGGAGCCGGGTGATGGGACCCACTGATGCCTGCCGGCGATACGCTGGGACTCTTGAGATCCCACGTCCAAAAGCACATGTAAATAAAACGAATAAGGCCGGGCTGAGCCGAGAGCAGGCGCACGTCTGGCTGACGAAGCAGCCAGCGACTCACGCCTACTTGGCGCACCAGTGCAGGGGAGGCGTGGAAATCCGGCAGTTACAAGAGAAATGGCGCTGCCCCATGAGAGCCCAGTAGAGACTGGCCCTTGGGGCTGGGGACCCCACTCCCCTGGGCCGGGCAGGCAGGGGCCCCATCCAGCTCCCTCCTGTGGCTGAGCTGATGGAGCCTGAGCTGGCCCAGAGGCACACCTGGGGCCAGGACCTCTGGGCTGTGTGTGCAGGTTGGCGCCCGGCCACCCACAGCATCCAGCCCCGATGCAGAGACGCTGCTGAAAAGCACGGTGGTTTGTGCATCCCCGACCAACGCCAAGCAGGAACCAAGAAGACGTCCCCTCACCTTGCCCCCGATCATGACGGTCCTGGGCACAAAGGTCTGGGCTGGGTCCTTCTTTATTCCTGCAGGACAAACAAAAAGAGAGCCACGTGAAGCCCCTGGAGCCAGACATGCCTGAGCCCTGGGACAGGCCTCAGTGACAGTGTCTTCAGAGGCCAGCCCGACACAGGTGCTGCACTGCCAGGAGCTCCCGCTTACAGAATTCTACACTTGGTCCAGGTTGGTTTGGAAGGCCAGCCAGGAGCAGACTCTTCCAGAAAGTTCAGTGGAAAAGCTGTGCCTTTGTGTCCAGAACAGCCCAACACAGGAGCTTCTCTGGGTCTGGTCACCAGGACTGAAGGCCCTTGCATGTGATGGGTACTCAAAAATGGGGTGACCTTGGGATGGTGATGATTCACCGTCAGCCTGCGGGAGGTGTCAGTGAGACCCCAAGCCCCCTCCGTCACTGGGACAGAGGCTAAGAAGCCCCCCAGACCTTTTCTGTACAGGAGCAGACAGCTCACCTCCAGCCCCAGCAGAATGAGATGTCCTCACCAGGCCACTGGTTTCCAGATTTCAGCTGGGGGGTGGGGGCAGGGAGTGTCTACAGAAGTGACAGGCTGCCCTAGACGGCTTTCACCAGAGGCAGGAATTGGCCGCAAGGTTTACAGGAGCCACTAAAGGGTCGCGGCTGATCTGTAACCTCTGTCTTCAGGTTCTAGTAGGAATATGACCGTCCCTTAGTTCTGAATCTTCCCGCTTCCAGATTGTGGACAGAGTAACAAAGAGAACAGGAAAAAAATAAAGCCAAAACCCCACAAACTACATTTTTACTAAAACTAGTAAAGAAGAAAAATACGCTAACTCCAGATCATTGGGCAAGTCCTCCTGGGTCATGGGATGGGTGGGAGACAGGGCTGTGAACTCAGGGTCTCAGGAACCCCAGCCTCCCGGGGGCTGTGAGCGGGGGAAGCGGAGGCAGGAAAGAGCCCCAGGGGGCCGGGCGGGCAGACCCTGTCGGCACCCCTCCTACAGAGAAACCTTGGAAAGGGGGTCTGGACATCCTTGTGGACAGAGGCCCACAGGGCCATGACGCCTCCTGAGCCAGCCTTGACTTGGAGCCCCAGAGAGGCATCACAAGCTGGGGAGGCCTGCGGCTGCCTTGAGCTCACGAGGCCCCGGCCAGCTCCTCAGACACGAGTGACCAACCCGAACACACAGCTTTGCCACAGACAAGGGCAGTGGAAGCAGCCTCCCTGTGAGTCTCCAACCTGTGAGACTGTCGACGCAGATGGGAGACCATAGCGCCGAAACGCAAGACCCCGGGAGAAGGCAGAACACAGGCGACAAGGCAGAACTGCCCCACAGAGTGCAGCCCGATCACAGAAGCCAGGAGGGCGGGGAGACGTGCAGAAAACACAGTAGACACACAGAGTGCGGAAGCGGGACCAGCAGACAACATGGAACAGAAAAGGAGGGAGAGCTATCAACAGGCAAAAAGAAGGTGGTGGAAGAAACCAACCACACACGTCACTGGAGCCCAGGAGAAGAAAGCCAAACACATGTTTTAATGTATTTCAAGAAAACTTCCTATAGATGATATAAGATATCAACCACCATCCTCAGAGTGCCCAAGCATCAGGAAAATTGACCCACAACAGCCGGCACCCAAGACACAGCCGAGTGGAATGAGCACAAGAGATCAGCTCACTCCAGACCCACCCTCCAGATGGCGCTGCTCAAGGAAAGAACGGGAGACTGAGAACATCGCTTCAGCGGAACCACCCTTCCCGCAAGTGGCCACAGACTACTGTGGACATGGAAGACCTCGGGGCACAGGAGCTGGGCAGAAGGGCGACTGGACGGCCCTGTAAGAGGACTGGGCGTCTCATCGCAGACGGAAACCCAGGTCAGATCGAGGCGAGGATGGCAGAGCAGCACCACGTTGTGCGCTCATACACGCAGGTGGACGAGCGGGTGGGGGGCGGGTGACACGTGCCCTGATGGCCCCATCGGAATGCCGCAGGCGCCCCGGACGCTCACAGCCGAGCAGAAGCAGCACCCTGGGCAGCAGGAAGGCACCGGTCACAAGAGGTGACGGGAGGAAGGGCAGGCCACCCAGTGACTGGCCCTGCCGCTCACGGGCAGGGGATTCGGGGACGCCGCCCGGGAAACGACAAAGAAAATGCAGAAAAATCACAACTGCAGAAGAAAACCACAGCAAAGAGCACAAAACAAAGTCCCTGTGAATGGCTGTTTCTGGCCCGGGAGGCGCGCCCTTCCGCCAAACGCACAGGAGGGCCCTCACCTGGGCCTTTTCTGAGGGTCGGGTCAGAACCATTCAACCCAAACTAGCATCCGTCCTGTCACTTCACTGTCTCACGAGCGAGCGGATCCCTCAAGACGGAGTCTCTCTCACTGGCAACTGGAGAGCTGATGTTCTCGAGGGGAGCTCTGCGTCTTGGAAAGTATTTGGTTCCTTTATTTTCAAAATTAGTATTTGCTTTACTACATTACAAGATCTTAAGAACCACGTTTTGGGCTTCCCTTGTGGCACAGTGGTTAAGAATCCACCTGCCAATGCAGGGGACACAGTTCGAGCCCTGGTCCGGGAAGATCCCACATGCTGTGGAGCAACTAAGCCCGTGCACCACAACTACTGAGCTCACGTGCCACAACTAACTGAAGCTGGTACACCTAGAGCCCATGCTCCGCAACAAGAGAAGCCACCATAATGAGAAGCCCGCGCACCACAACGAAGAGTAGCCCCCGCTCGCCACAACTAGAGAAAGCCCGCGCACAGCAACGAAGACCCAACGCGGCCAAAAATAAATAAATTAAATAAAGAACTTTAAAAAAAAAACACAGATTTTTCCTTGAGGCTTTATTATCTTATTTATAGAAGTAGCAAATGTTCATAGTTACTTTTAGGTGGGTCTTTTTTTTTTTTTTTTTTCGGTATGCGGGCCTCTCACTGTTGTGGCCTCTCCCGTTGCGGAGCACAGGCTCCAGACGAGCAGGCTCAGCGGCCATGGCTCACGGGCCCAGCTGCTCCGCGGCATGTGGGATCTTCCCAGACCGGGGCATGAACCCATGTCCCCTGAACCCGAGTCCGGCAGGCAGACTCTCAACCACTGCGCCACCAGGGAAGCCCTTAGGTGGGCCTTTGATTCACACGTGCTTCAAGATCAAATGCCACTTAAATAGTTTAAGGTGTATAGATGTAACATACTATTTCATCTTCTATGAGTATACTTCAAATGTCTCATCTGCTAAGTATAATCTCTCCAAATAACTTAAGAGGAGTCTAATAACGATAATAACTAAGTATGAAAGAAATGCTACACCAGACCTAAAACCCAGCCTCTGGAGGAGGTGCAGCCCCTGGGCCTCGAGCTCCCCAACCTCTGAGCTCACGTCTCACTCCTTGTAGCTGCTCTGCTCTGAACACAGAAAACCAGAAGGTGCCACTCAAAATGAATATGCCACGTCCGCCCCAGTGGCCACGTGAGAAACAGGCCCGGGGGAAGGGGCGTGGGGCGCAGGGCGGAGCACTCACGGTTGTACAGGGTGACCACGTGCAGGCAGTTGAGCAGCTGCCGCTTGTACTCGTGGATCCTCTTCACATGCACGTCGAACATGGACGAGGGGTTGACCTTCACCCCGTACTCCTTCTCCAGGAAGGCAGAGAACTTCACCTTGTTTTCCTGGAGAACAGAGGTAAAGATGGTGGGATGTGCACAGGGCCGAGCCCCCAGGGCTGGTGTCAGAGACGCAGCAGGGAGGGGATGCCCAGGACGCGCTGCCACCCCAGGGGAGACACAGAGGGACACAGGTGGTCACCGGAGCCTGGTGGGCAGAAGGGGGAAGCGTGATCCTGAAAGTGGATCCGCACGAGAGCGTGGAGAGAAACAGGAAAGTAGATGTGCAAACCCAGGAAGAGGAGCAAAGGATGAGAAAAGCAGAAAATGGAGACAAGGAGACCTGGGGTGGGGGGCGAGACTCCAAAATGAAGACTACTTCTGGGGCCCCGAGGCCAGGCTGTTGGCACAGTGGAGGGTCAGTCTCGGTCTTCAAAAGCCGCCCAGTGGGCCAGGCCGCCTGGTGGTGAGGTGGCCACAGGGAGGCCCAGGTGTGCGGACAGCATGTCAAGTGCAGATGCGAGACCTGCATCGATTCCCACTGCTTCCCTCCGGACCTGGGGCGGCGGTGCGCTCAGGGTTCAGCGGGGCCCCCTCTGCAAGGCTGAGTGGGGAGATGGGCCCCCCACCAGGCCTACCTGCTTGACCTGGGCCACGTCCCTGATGAGTGCCTCGTCACTGAGCAGCTGCAGCAGTTTCTTCAGTTGGCTCAGGTCCGTCAGGAAACCCTCCCCGATTCTCTGCCGAGTCATAAGGGAGACGTGGTTTCTGCACCTCTTCTGCCCCCCTCAGCCCCAGGCCCCCTCCTCTCCCACGACACCCCCTCCCAGGAAACACCGCACACCCGGCGCCGGTCAAGTCCCGACCACTGAAACGTGCCCTCAAATGCACACGCCTCCCCCGGCTCCCCACAGGCCTGAAACCTGGGGGCCCGTCTCCGCCCACCCCCAAGGCCCACACCCGCCAGAACCGCAGATGGACGGAGGCCTTCCAGCCGCTCCCGCCTGGCCTGGGCACCCTACCCTGCCCCCGACACTGCAGCACAGCGCTGTTTCCAAACAAACCCCAGCTTCAGTCTCCCTGTTTCTACTTTAGGACCGAGAGGAAAACTGGCCTCTAGACACCTGGGCTGTCTCTGTGGCCTTGCCCTGAACCGAGGCCGCACCAGCCAGGCTGAGGTGGTCACGTCCCTGCAGCGCTGCTCCCGGTAACTGGGCAGGCAGACCTCAGCTCTGCCGTCCCTTCCAGAGAAGCCTCCTTGGCACACAGCCTGCCCCCCAGCACCCCCGCCGCACCCCCATGTCCAGCACGCAGCCTGGCCCCTGCGTGACTTGTCTCCTTCCTCGCTGAGTGCGTGAGCATGGGAACAAGTCAACAACGACGGCGTCCCCGGCTCACAAACCTCTTCGGGGGCAGCTGGGCCTAGCGCTTCCCCTCTGAACTCCTGCACAGGCCGCCAGGGCTGCTGGCCGACCGCCCGGCCCCCCACACCCAGGGTGACAGCGGGTCCCCACCGCCCGCACCCGTCCAGAAGCCATCGCTGTCCACGCGCTGAGGAGCAGGTCACCGCCCACACGGCCCCAGGCAGCTGCCGCTCGCTCTGCCTGCCCACAGCTCCGGGTGGGCTCAGAGGCGCTGGCCTCACCTCCACGATGATGTCCGCCAGCCCCGGGTTACACAGAAGCAGCCACCGTCGGGGCGTGATGCCATTCGTCTTATTCTGGAACTTCTCTGGCTCCAGCTCATAAAAGTCCTTAAAGCTAAAAACACAGACAACGGGCAACTGTCACAAGCACTGTTTCAAACAAGGTGAGCGAGAGGCACAGGGCCCTCTGAAGGGAGCCCCCGGGCGATCCAGAGCCCAGCCTTTCTGTTCCATCCCCCAAGGAGCCCAACTCCACGCCGGCATGTGGCTGGAGCCTGGCCACCTCCCAGTGGTTGTGACAGTGGAGAGTGGACGGACAGTGGGGATTAAACAGTACATCACAAAAAGCCTCAGGCCAGCATCGAGGACCTGGAAGCCTCCACACGGACAGACCCGTCCAGGGCTGCCGGGCGCCCACACGAGAGGCGCTCCACAGGTCTGCGGCGAGGATGGAAAGGAGGAATTCCAAGACCACATCCCACAAAGAGGGGGCAGAAGCAGGGAATCTGACCTAAGAATTCCTCCTTCCTCTCGGGGATGAGCCCCAGCCCGTCACACCCTAACCTCCACCCTGGCGGGGCCCAGGACTCTTGTCCCCAGGTGGGGCGCCGAGGCCCACAGCCAGCGGCACGTGCTCCAGAAGGAGAGCCTCTGCCTGGATAGACGGAGAACGCAGACAACAGGAAGGGCTCCTGGTGACAAGAGGGCTCGGTCCCCCAGCGTCGTCCACCGAGTCAGAGCCTCACCCTCCCACCGCCGCGCTCTGGGCAGTTCACTCGCCCTGGCGCAGGCCAGCGCAGGCCCCACTCACACTGACTGCTTCACGATCTCCGAGTGGATCCTCGCCACGCCGTTGACAGCGTGGGACCCGATGACACATAGGTGGGCCATGTTGATGCGCTTGCAGTCCCCTTCCTCGATCACGGACATCCTCCGCAGGCGGTCCACATCCCCGGGGAACAGGGCGGCCACGTGCTGCCGAGACAGAGCAGTGAGCAGGAGGGTGGGGGCTGCTTTCCCCAAGAAAGGCCCAGGGCGGCTGCAGCCCAGCCTGACTGGGCCCCGGGCGAAGGTCTGCCTCGGCCTGGGGGCGGCGGCCCGGCCCGTGGGCTCGGAGGAGCTGAGGAGGTGCCCTGTGACGTACAGGAAGAGATGGGGATGCTGTCCCCGCTGGCCCAGGCAGGGTATAACCGCAGTCTACCAGTGGGAATGGCTACTCTTTCACCAAAAGATTAAAAAAATGAACTATAATCACACCTGAATTCTAAGTTCCCCTGTGCGTGTACCACTATCCTTTCTGTGGGTGACAGAGGAAAGACAAAGGTGATTTGTTTCCAAATCACCCAAATGCTGCAGTGATGTCGCAGGACAAAGGCCTTTGGCATTCCAGGAACAGACACTCACACCTGAACCTGCTCAGAAATGAAAAGAAGACTCCCCCCGACGCAGCAGGGGTCCAAGCGTGGGGACCAGGCAACAGCTCTGCCAAGTGACAGCCCCAGACCCCAAAGTCCTCTTCTCGAACGGCTATTCCCTTCAAGAAGTAAAGCACCTGTCCCGGGCCAGACGACCTGACGTGGAGGACAGAGGAGGGCCCGTCAGAGCAGGGCAGCCCTCTCCCCTCCCGCATCCCCACAGGAAGGGCGTGCTCACATCCAGGTGCCTCTGGTTGATGGCGTAGATGATCTCCAGGTGCCGTGGCAGCAGCTTCTCAAACATGGACACAGGCCAGCGCTCCAAGGCCTCGGGCAGCACCGTGTGGTTGGTGTATGCACAGGTCTTCCTTGTGATTTCCCAGGCCTACAACATTCCAGAACACCCCAATGTTTTATTCAGAAAAAAGCAGCTCGTGGCCAGATGCCAAGGTGAGGAGAACGTGTAGGATCAGAGGCAGGTGTTCAGATGCCACCAGGAAGGGCCCCGCACGTCTCTGCTCTCCGGGGCCCAGAACTTCCTAAACCCACAGTGAGCCCTGCGCCCTTCACTGTCCTGACACACCCGACGTGCACCTCACATCCTGACCCAGAGCACACGCAGGAATGAGCACCTTACCTGCTACCTGGGAACCACTGCAACTTTCCTCTGTAAACCAGACAGAGCTCCAGGCAGCTTTGCTTTACTTCCACCAAACCGACTTCACACCCACAGTCCAGAGGAAACTGGTCAAGTGTCTGGCCCTGCCCTCCGCTGGCCAGGGGAGAACAGGGTCTGCCCAGCCCCACCCAGAAGTGCAGCCCCAAACCAGAAAGGGGCTCTGGTGCTAAAAAATGGGGTAAAAATGGTTTTATATGTTGATTTAAGTAAATGAGATCAACAAAACCCCACTAAAGAACCTAGGACCAAAATAAGTGAAGCAGGGAGAACGAGCCTATAAATGTGTGAACGATGTATTTCTTTAAACCGAACCCTTCTGGGTTTTTCGCCACAATTTTAAGATGAAAAAATATAGGTGAGAAGCTCTCAGAAGTGTCAGAATCCTTTTCTTGTCTTCCAGAACACCACCCTTCTCTGGCCCTTAAACTGCTGTGCCCACTCACTGTGCCCTGCCCTTGGGAGAAACCCCAGACCCGCTCCTGGAACGTCCTTCTCCCCACAGCCCCGTCTTCCCAGGACAACTTCCTTCTGTTCTCCCGGGGCCACCAGAGAGGCCTCCCTCTGTGGACCAGCTCAGTACTCACCCCTGCTGTCGGGAGAGGCGGGGAGGTCACCCCGTGCCAGGTGTTTGGGGACACTGTGCTCGGGCCCCCGGTGCTCACCTTGTCCCAGTCCACCTTCTCCACGTCCACCAGGATCCGCATGAGCTCAGGGATGGCCAAGGCTGGGTGGGTGTCATTCAGCTGGATGGCCACCTGCGTTTACACGGGGTGACCCCCTCAGTCCCTTGCCTGTGTGTGCAGAACCGGGGTCCTCGGCTGCCCGCCCCGAGGAGCCTGGTCATAGGGCTGGCAGCAGGAAGCGGATGGCACTGCACGGGCTCCAGGCCCAGCATGGAAAGCCGCGGAGGCGCAGGGAGCAGGTCAGGGTGGAGGACCCGTAGGCCAGCCCCGCAGCGCGCGTCCAGAGCCCTCCCCGCCTTGGAACGCTGCTCCTGCCTGACGGACACTGGCTGGTTGTGTTCAGATTACTGAACTGAGCCTGCAAACTGGCCGCTTTGCCCGACGGACCTTTCACAGCGTTCCCTGCTGCCTCGACGCCTCCTGAGGCCCAGGGCAGCCCTGGTCGAGGAGGAAGGCGGCCTGGTCCCCGGGCACGAGGAGGCCCAGGTTGGAGGGCGGCTTCCCGCCCAGCCCCCACTGCAGCTGGAAGGAGGAGGCCCAGCCCGGGAACAGCCCGTCTCCGGCATGGCGCTCAGCCCTCTACACACGCACCTTGTCTGGGAACGTCTCGAAGGAGGTCCTTACGGGGTCGCGGCAGCCGAACTTGGACGACTTGAAGCGCCGGATGATGTCTTGGAGGGTGGCGGCCACCACGAAGTATTCCTGCTTCAACCGCAGCTCCTTCCCCTCAAAGAACTGAGGACATGCCCGGCTCAGCCTCCGCTGCATGGGCCCTTGGGGCCCCCGAACCCAGGACAGGGCCCAGGCTGGGGTGCGGCCCAGGGGTGCAATGCCTCAATCCCCAGTGCTGGGGCTGAGGCCAGGAAAGCAACCTCCCAGGTGCCTCACATTCCAGGAGGCCTCATGCCTGAAGCATGAGCCTGTTCGGAATCTCTGGGGGGTGCTGGGGGAGGGCATTTTCTTATGAGCCTTTCAGCACAGGGCCCTTTGCTGCTACATGCATGTATTTCCCTGATAAAATAAGAAAAACACACAACCCACAAAGATGGGCAAATCCTAGGGGCTCGTTTGGTGGCAGTGGATCACGTGGCTGAGGCCCCGCCTCACAAGTGGGGACACCTGCTAAGAGCGTTCTAAACCATGACCACGTGGCGTCTCAAGGCGTCCCTGCAGAATAGGCACTGCTGGCCCCACGCGCCAACGCGCCAACCAACTCTTGGGGAGCTGGCACCAGGTGCTGAAGAGCAGAAACGGCTGGACGTGAGGTCTGAGGCCTCCGCGGCCCTGCACTCGGTGGCCGTGTGCTTATGGGGAGCGTAGGTGTGAGGCCAGGAACCTCCTAAGAGCTCCCCTGGGCAGAGGGCAAAGGAGGGGCTAACAGCACACAGGTGCTCCTGGACCCCGTCAGGGATGCCGTGCCGCCCTCACTCTGAGGAGGTCACTCTCGTGGCCTCACCTGACAAGCCTGAGGCCAGCACAGGGGCCCTTCTGGAGCCCAGCCCTGCAGGGGTGCTTCCTGCACTGGAGGAACGGCGCGGACGAGGACCACCTGCAGCAGCTACTCACGTTGTCGTTGGGATACAGGACTCTGGAGATGTTCTCGGCCAGGTTCCGGTCCAGGACCGCCTCGATGTAGCCGCCCACGTTGACTGAGGGCAGAGAGCGGAGTCAGGACCCGCGTGCCTGCCGAGGCCCTCATGTGCCCTGATCGGTCTGAGGACAGCGTTTCCGAGCAGAAGGCGTCCCACAGCTGCTACGCCGACCGGCCCACACCCCGCCCCAGACCCCTGGCTCTTTCCGGACGGCGCGGGGTCCCTGGGAAGTCCAGGGCTCACAGGGAAACTGCCCTCAGCCCTCCCGCAGTGGGGAGCCTCGTGGGCTGTGGGTGCAGACGGGGTCGGTCTGGGATCAGCCACCGGACGGGGACAGGAGGGGACGCACAGTCATGGAGCTTGAAGTCATTGGGCGCCTTGGCGGACCACAGTCTCATGGTGTTGACGGTGTCGTTCTTGTAGCCCGGCACCGGGGTGTCGTACGGCATGGCCAGCACCACCTGCCGAGGGAAGACACGGTCCCCAGGCCTGGGCCACCTCCCCCCACGGGCTGGGGCAGCTCGGCCTCGCAGGAAGCGGCCCACCGGCCCACCCTCCTCTGGCTTCGCTCCTTCCTCCTCAAACACACCCAACCTGCCCCGTGTCCCTTGCACCTGCAGCCCCGGCTCGCACATGTCCTGAGCTGGGAGCACCCGAGGCCGCCTCCGGTGGGCCCTGACCACACGCCAGGCCCTCTCTACCTTTACTTTCGACACCAGAGTCGACTGTCACCTGGCTCCTCGGTAGCCCCTCCTCCCGTGTCCTTGGCCTCCCCCTCCACACCTGCCCTCTTCTCACTCAACTCTGCGTGGGCGATTTCGGGACTCACCTAACCTCTCCCCACAGACAGCTGCTATTTCAGACCATCTCCCACGTCTGCGGCGAGGCTCCTCCTGTCGCCTTGACCTCGAACTTCAGCAAAACCAAAGCAGCCTGCACACTCCCTCCCGACAGAAAACACCGGACCTGCCCTCCACCCCCATCCCAAGCCCCATCTGTCCAGAAGCACCAGCTCTGCTCTGGCCAAGCCTCAGGTCACTTCCACCGCAGACCCTCCCACGGGCTTCTCACACTCAGGCCTGCTTCCGGGGGTGCTTCGTGTGCGGCCTCAGAAGCTGAAGGCAGCTCCAATGGCCACAAAGGACTATGGGGCAGGGCCCTGGGTTAAAGCCCCAGTATCACCCTTCCCTTCCCGTCTCCCCGCAGCCCTGCTCCCCAGCCCTGCCTGGCCTTGACAAGCCCTGCAAAGCACCTGCAACCTGCTCCTTCCCTCTCCACAGCCAGTCCCCCAGGGGAAGGCCCTCACTGCACGGCGCCTGGGGTGCCGAGTGGCCTCCAGGCCTTTCATTCATCTACAAGCACACGCACCTAGAAAACCAGACCCCCTTCTCTGCTTTTCCAAATTAAATCCAACTTATTCTGGCATCGTAGGCCGCCAGCCTGCCCTGGCTCCATGAGCCCCAGTTAAGACTTGAGTCTGCATGACTCACTTGACCCATGACTCACGGGCTTGCCCTGTTTATGCTCTACTGCCCACACTGCTGCGGTGGCGTCTTTCTTACGTATTGCGACCACCACCCATCCCCACCCCCAGAAGCTCTCCTCCGCCTCCGCGGTCTCTGAGCCCGGGCTGGACTCCGCGTGTGCACCCGCCGGTATGGCACCGCGTTCCGCCAAGCACTCGGTGCTCCTGCCCTGGCCCCCCAGGGCCCAGCTGGGGGCCGGGGGTGCCGTGCTCCCGTTAAACTACAGAGTGTGGCTCCACAGCTGGTGTCTGGACAGTCCCAACCGAGCGTGCGGAGGTGGGTCCCACAGGGAAGCCCCAAGGGGAGCCGAGGGTCCCCGTGCTCAGCCCCCCACCCACCAAGAAGCGCCCGTGGTACCTGTGTGTCCAGCCAGCACACGCCCTCGGGGCTGTGCTCCACTCGCCCGTAGAAGTGCACGGGCAGCATGTACTCCGGCCGCGCCTTCTCCCAGGGGTTCCCGTAGCGCAGCCAGTCATCCGCCTCCTCCACCTGGAAGGGCGGCAGGTGAGGGCGGGGGAGATGGTCCCGGGCACTGGCAGACCCTGCCCTCCGCCCGCAATGACCACACCATCCAGACGATGCTGCCCGGCACGGAAACAAAACTGCGGCCTATTTACAGCGCAAAGGTTTCCAATTCTGGTCAAGGCTCTGTTTAAAAATGAACACTTTGGACTGTTAAAGAAAAAACTCATATAAAATTAGAAGAATAAATCAAAGTAAAAAGACGTTAAGAATTGCTTGAATTCAGCAGTAAAAGGAAGAAGTCCTGGGGCACATCAACGAACCTCGAGACGTTACGCAGAGTCCACACACAGCATGACTCCATCCACGTGACGTCACCTGACCAGGACGGCCAAGTCACAGACAGAAGGATGGCCCTGTCTACACCAC